TATGAACATATCATGGAAAACGGTGCCTCCTTTCATCCACTCTCTAGGTGGTTCATTTCCTCTTTTATGGTAATTCATAGGTGGCTCTCATCCACGCGAGTTTTAATAGTGAGTGACGGCATTCCGACTGGTTGGCAAAATTTTGTATTTGTGAGTGTGGTCAGAATAGGCTATGCGCAGTACTTGCTTGCCTATCCCAAGAACACGTTGATGACATGCATATGAAAGACTTAAGCTGATTCTCTCAGTTTCTTCTAAATTCCCACCTTCAGTCCTGATCCCAAACATCAGCCTTTGATAAAAGAAAACTGTCCTGCTTTCATTCAAAAAGAAAACTGTCCTGCTTTCAAATAGATGCTTTACCTCCTAGTGGTGATTTCAGGAGACAAAAATACAGAAATCCAGCATGTGAGGGCCTGTTTGGTAAATATAATCTACCTGTATATTCCAGCAATTTCTTGTGCTTTATATGTCTGCAGATATTGGTCCACAAATATGTTCTTTGATATGCTGTTATGCATCTCTAAAACTAACGAATATGAATAGCAAAACATTTTATATAAAAAGTCCTCTTAAGGAGAGGTTCATCCATTTGTATAAATGTCCAATGGTAAATTTGAGGGATGCATTCCACGCTTCCACTTTCACGTATTTTTTTTAAAAAATCTCCTCTCAGGTAGTCAAAGTGGCTGCAATCAGGCAGAAGTAGCTGCTTTGCATGCCCTTTGCCCATCTCCCCATAGATTGTATAGATTACTCTGTGGAGATCAATATAATTTACCTTGCATGTGCAATCCCACACATGTTTATTTCACATATAATTTGCAAGTACGTTCCACAGAGCGTTGCATTAGAAGGCTATTCTAGGGTGTCCAGTTTGATCACATAGAGTTAGTATGCCTTCCCTTGCCACATGGAGCACATGAACACTACTCTGTGGTTACACATTGCAGGGAAAGATCAGCATCGCAAAAAAAGTTCTGCTTTCAGGGGAAGCTTGTCTACCATTCTGATTTTTTCATTATGAAACTACTCACAAACTTCTCAGGAAATCCAGGTTTTCCCTGGATACAGTTGAAAAATGACTAGCTTAGAGAAGCCAGGTGGAAACATTGAAAGGTCTACCATTGTCTAATGTCAGTTATCATGAAGGTCTCAATGCCACTACTCAACATCCATGCCCTGTTGTGCTGTGGAAGTGGCTGAAGCAGATGGAGGACAGCACACTGCATCATTTCGCTTGAAATGGACAAGGAATGATCCCTGAATTCCACAGATGCCTATTGACTGACTATGTTGCTAATTCTGCAGGCAATTAGCAACAGAGAAAGCTCAACAATAGTGCCTTCAAGTGTTTCACCTGGCTGCAATCTTTCCTAGTAATTGCTATTGGTAATGTCTTCAGTAAAGAAAGGGACAGGATCTCCTAACGTTAAACATTTCAAATGATGTCCTCATAATCTTGAAACAGCTGACTTAAGCATTTCAAGTTTCATGCTGTATAATACTCCATTCTGTTTCAATTTGAAAAGGAAAGAAGAAAACATATTACTTTGATGAAGTCATGTAATTCTATGTGCCTGAGAGGAAAGATAGGTTAACACCTCAACCCCGTAGTGTAGTTATCATGGCGTAGATTTATTTTGTCACATGTCTGGGGAAGTCTGTCTCCCTTTAACACCCCATGAAGCATTTTTGTGTGAATAAACTTTAATCCAAAATTGCTAATTCTTACTGTGCGATCCTATGCATGGGGACTTGATGTTAGCCACATCCCACATCTGCTACCAAGGAATACCATACGTATTTCATTGCTACTAGTTCCATGATCCTGAGAGTAACGACTGGTCACTGCCTGGTTAATGGTGTGGGGGGTGTACTTTAGTGGCAAAATCTGTACTGGAAATCCAAATCAGAGACTTTAAGGAAGATGGATGCTTTTGAGTCCTTTTCAGACAAAAGATGTGGATTAGCATAAGACACAACTTCAGTCAGTCTCATGCAACAGTTTTGCATGGAACTCACAGGCCCTCCTTTGCTCTGCTAGCTTCACATGACCTTATGGTAACCTTCTCCAACCTGGAACCCCCAATGTCTTGGTTTTTACTCATAAATTGCTTAATTTGATAAGAGATAAGAGTCCCCAATATGATCCTGAGACTGATGAGTTTGCCCTTTTAGGTTTATCCTCCGTGCAGCAAGTCCAGACAGCAATAGCCGGTAAGATTATTCATATTTTATATACAGGGTATTTGTATATACAGGTTGTCTGCACTTAGGAATGTAATAAAGAGCTGGCTATCTGCCAAAATCTTAACTTTACATTAGTATTGTCTTTGGGGTCATTCTTTGACTGAAACTCAGTTGATTTGCCCAACTAACTGAGTCACTGATTTGACATTCCTTATTAAACTGACATGCTAGTGGAAAGAAATGTATCTTTTTTCCCCTCCTAACATCTTTGTCTAGATGAAATCCAAAAAAGAAGGACAAAGGTGCCATCTGTGGACATCATTGTGTGGCATGACCATTGTACTCAAAATGGATATCCACCCAGGAAAGGTTTGGGCATCTTAAAGGCATCAGCAGCCATTATGTTAATCTAGTTTGACAGTCTGCATAACCCAGGCCATAGACTTAAAACTTGTTATTAAAAATACAACCTCACACTGCCACTCTATAAATCTACAGTGCACTTCAACTTAAATTCTGGACGTGGCTTCTGTCTCTCTCCCAGTCTTAAGCAAAGGAACGGTGGAACTAGAGCATTTATGACAAAACACTTCCATATGAGGAAGGATTATCTAGGCTGGAACTGTGCTTCAGAAAGGAGCTTATTTAGAAGGCTTTTGTTGGAATGACATAAGGTCGTTGCTAGTCTGTGCAAAACGATTCACAGCTCATCCCAAGCTGTACTCAGGGTTGCTGTATGTAAAAACACAGCAGATTCTATGCCCTTCATATTTCTATGGAGCAGCTTTCCCCAAACTTCCAGAAGCATTAAACTACAATGCTTATGATTTTCATCCCACATGGGTGAGTCAGTGGAGGGCAGCCCGTAGTTTAGTGGCACAGCACATGCTTTGCATGCAGAAGACCCCAAATTCAACCTCAACCACCTCCAGTTAAGATTCACAGGTAGTGGGGCTGGTAAAGACTGATGGTGCTCCTAGTGCTACTGGTTTCAGACAGCATGACAATCCATGATCAGGGGTTGAGCATGGGTTGAGTGTGGGTTGTCACTGAACTGTGGGTTGTTATTGAAACATGGGCTATCATATTATCTGAACTTAGCAGAGATGGACAATGCACAATTTACAACCAACAACAAACCCTGAGTTTTTTTTCATGGGTTGTTTGGCTTCTTGGCACAGCTTGTGCTTGGCCCTCCTTTATGAATTGAGTCAGGCTGACATCCACAAATGCTCATGGGAGTCCAGTTTCAAAGCCAGCAACCTTCTCCTGAAGCACAAGCAGCCCTACCAAAAGCTGCAAGTCATTTGCAAGGAAGAGGGATGCTACTGGTGCAGCGTGTGTGTGGACTCCCCTCCTGCACAAATGCTCAGCACACTAGCCAGGAAGTCAGACTCACCACCACAAGAAAGTGTGCTGAGGTTCAGGGAGGTGAACCCAGAGAATCTGATGGATTCCCACCCCCAAAACAAATTCCTCACACCCCTAGTGTCACGCCTTTCCTTGGTCAGTCTGGTATTCCAATCCCTTGAAGCTAAAGCACTAGACTTATCATTCATTTCATTGCTAGCAGATACACTTTCATGTAACAATTTCTAAATGTAGAACCATGCTACAGCAATTATCCACTAAACAGACTGTTCCTGGTGCTAGTTCTTGAGAATCCATCTGCAGCTATGATCTTTGCAAGGCATTTTAATTTTCTTAAATTAGATTGGAAGCATTACCTGGCTAGGAAAGGAATCCTAGCAGTCATTCACGGACCGCACAGGGCATTTGTGTAAAGATTCGAGACAATTCTTTCTGGGTTAATATGCATAATTTAGCTTTGAAAAAGTGTCTGTTCATTCCATTCCAGTCATGCGAGACACTGCAAAATTGCTTAGCATATGCTTGTTCAGTTAGGCTGCTCTCTCAAGAAACAGAGCAAGGTATGATACTGACAGTCGGGAGAAAAGCTTAGCAAAGTCAGCAGCAACTGGAAATTACTTATCTTCATAAATTGTACATTATGCCACCCAGGCTATAAATCAGCATAATAGCATAATATATGAAAGGTTACACATTTTTAGTAAGTTAAACCTGTTTATCAAATACCGCTCCAAGAAACAACCTGGATTATGTAGATGGCACTATTCCTTGTAATATAGAAATTGCTACTGGGTGGGTTACAGAGTTCTGTGACAAGAAAGTTTCCCACTGTGTGTTCAAGCCATGGTAATTATCAGGTTTTCACACGTGCACATTCTCTCTTGTCTTCCTTCTTCAAAGCTTCAAGGAGGCGGTTAATATTATTCACTTCTGCTTTTAAACAAACCACAAGACATTATATCTGGATCTGACAAGCAGTGGTTAGCGAGAACAGTCCAGGATCCAAAGAACATGGCTTGTTCTCACTAACTTAACTGTAAACAAACTGCAATTTCTCCAAACCATAATTTCCTATACCGGGAAACTGGCTTTTTAAAAAATGGATCTGGAGAGTGGAGAGGAGAGGAGAGGAGAGGAGAGGAGAGGAGAGACCATGGTTTCCTGAACCAGACAAGTGGGTATGTGAGGGGGTGTCACACAGAGGTGGGTAGAGACCTGTTCTCCCCTGCAGAGGAAGGCAGGACACGCTCCAACAGAGCAAAGCTCAGGGAACCAAGGTTCCATTTAGATGCCAGGAAGCACTTCCTGACAGTTAGGACCCTGAGGGTGTGGAATGGGCTTCCACGAGAGGTCGTTGAGGCCCCATCGGTGAGGTGTTCAAAGATAGGCTGGACATGCACATGGTGGGCATGTCGTGAGTGGAGCTAGCTGGAACCAGGGGTCAGACTAGATGGCCTGGGAGGTTCCTTCTGACTCGCTCTGTTTCTAAGTTTCTATGTTTCTAAGTGGGTAGTCCATTGTCTGGTGAAATCCCAGAAACTGCAGTGGGCTTGAATAGGAAACATCTGATGTTTAGCAGATTCTGTTTAGCGCCCTGGCTAGACTAACTTCTGTTGTTCTCAGTGACACAAGCAACTGCCTGCCCTCTTTGAAAGATAAGAACAGTGTCCTCATCAGTCATAAAATTCATTTGAAAACTCTTGCACTGATCCACTGAACTAGGAACTGCACACAGGTATGACTGCATGTATATTGGGAGCTGTGTTTCTTTACAGCATCTCTTCCCTCCTTACCTCCAAAACTGCAAAGCTCAGAACAGTTTTTAATTTAAGGAGTGGAACCTGGTTAAGGAAAAGCTGCCGCTGATGAAAAGACATATGAGAAGCAGTGAAGAATTTTGGACTCCTGTCTTTGGGTGGGGGAGGGCTCTTTAAAGGGTGAGGAGTTGCTTTGCTTGCTTTAGAATTGGAAGCCACCCTGCTATGCTTTCTTCCACACAGTCCAGCCTAGATGGCACCACTTTTGATGCCTGACACAGGACTCACACAACAACACAGGTGCACCTCTGGATAGCAGCCATTGTTATATTCCTCTTTAACTGTTTATTACATTGTTTAAAAGCTGCTGATTCTCAGAGGTTGTAGGTTAAGCATTGTTCATTTACACACACCCATATTACCTTCATCCAAATACGCACTTTTGTGTGGGCTAGAAATTATGGTTTACAGTTTGACATCTTATGAATAAATACTGTAAATCTTTCCTTGAGAACAATGAGATTTAAAGGCAAAAGGGCATGGACATGTGAAATAAGTCCAAAAGAGAAAACCTTGGACTGTTTTTCATCCTTTTTATTTTTTAAGGTTAAAATAACAATAATTAACATTCAACCAAAACAAAAAAAATGAAAGCTTTGACCCAAGAAACAATTGCTTGCAAAAAAAATCTTTCTATTTGGCAGATATCTGATCCAAGTCATAAATCAAAAGAAATCAGCAGAGAATTTAATAAAAACTTATTGCTCATAATTTCCACTGGTCCTGTATTATTGAGGCTACATTATGGCTGGCTCAGCAATGAAGGGAGCTGAAAGTTTTACATTCATCTTCTATATTTTTCCCCTATGGTGGTGATGGCATCACAGTTGCTGGAAAACTCTTCCACCATTTCTGTTAAAGCAAAGAGCAGCAAGGACAACTGATAGATCATTTTGTGACCATTTTTGTTTTTGCTAGAAGTCTCTGGCAACGATGCACATTGCAGGGAAGTGCCTGCTTATTTTGTGTAGGTCCAGGATACCATGAAATTCTTACTTTGGCATTTCAATATCAAATCTTTGACTTGGTAGGTCAGTTTTTCCCACATGTGCATGTCCTATCATCCTCAGTCAGCATGCCTAGCCATTGTGGGAAATGGGAATTATAATCCAACATAGCTAAAGAATACCCCCATAGAGAAGGCTGAGCTAGCTTATTAGAAAGCAATCAATATATTTAGAAAATTTAGGCTGCATTCTTGTACCTGGGGCAGACTTCTAGGGCATTAAGCCTCTGGGATGAATGTATCTCTCTATTTTGATCCTTCCACATTATATTTTTTAAAGATCTCAAGTTCTCTCCATCCCATTTTCTATCCACTCTTATCAAATGTGAACCAAACTAAATTTTTTAGCTCTCTGCACTGGTGAAATTCAACAGGTAGAGCTATTCCCAGCATGGACCAGCCTGCTGTGTGAGTGCTACAGATTAGGACCCCATCAGAGACAAGACATGGCAACTCCAATCCATCATCACAAATACTCAGCACTGAACACAACTGGATGTGTGGGTTATGACCTATAAAGCCCTATATGACTTGGGACCAGAAAACCTGAAAAATTACCTCCATATGAGCCTGACCAAGTTTTAATATGTTCCACTGAGTCACTTTTCTTGGTATTGTAACCGTCAGAGGCACATTTGGTTGGGAGACAAGATGGGGTCTTCTTTGGATGACTCCCTGCTAGTTTGTGCCCCCCCCCCCCCGCCCCCACATTGTCCTTCTGCTGAGAAACAAAAATGGCTTTATTCTGGCCAGCTTTGGCAGATAGCTATTCTAGCGCTGAAGGGTTTTATTTTAGGCAGTTATACTGCTCATTTCATGATTTGCTACATAGTTCATTGCTGTTGTATTTTAAATTGTATTTTAATGTGCTTTTTTAATGTCATATTTTAAATCAAATGTTGTTTTCAGTCCAGACCTATGCAACCTTTTTTGATGGAAAGGCAATCTATACTTTAAATTTAATAACAATAGTTGAATACGCAGGGATTCAAAACCAAACCACTACAAGCTAAACACTCAGAACCCTGTGCCTGAATGAGCAAATGTCAGCTCTGCTTTCTCTCACTTTTGAATCTTTTTGATCTTGTATCTTTTCCATACCATTTATGTGTAATGTTCCAAATGGTGGTACATTCTTAATTATTATAAATGCAACCAAACAAATTTCTCACCTGACTCTGTTGAGCTTTTCATTCCTTTAGTAGCAAACCTTGCATCTGTGTGGGAATTTGGGAAATGGATGTTCGTTGTGACATTTTTACTCTCATAATAATAGCTGACGGGCCAGTTGAGCTGTAGTATGAAGCTTCCTGTGGTGGCAGAAAATTCAATAAGTTAAGTGTATGCTGTGTGAAGAAGTTAAGCTGTTCTGACTCTCTTCCCAATCAGCTGCATTGGATAACCCCAAGTTCCGGTGCTGGGGAAGAGAGAGACGCTGTCTACATTCTCCACACCCTGCATAATTTTAGCTCAAGAGATTGGCGAGTGATCCACTTGAGTTCCATGCAAGAGAACAGCCAGAAGTCAATCAGACACAGAGCAGCAGTGTGTGCATATGTGTGTGTTGGGGTGGGGGGAGCTTACACACCAATGTCCCTTGCACACTTTAGCTATATTGAAGTGCAGGTGAATGTCTCCATAGTGCTAAGAAAATCATTTTCTCTTGCTAATGGCCCAGGATATTTCCAAATCTTGATGTAAACTTTGTGTAGAAGAAGGAAGGACAACCCAGCTCTAAAATACTTCAGGATTCCAACCTAACTGCTTAAGAAAGCAAAGTATGTTTCCTTCTTTGATGCAGAGTCACTTATCTGGCAATGCACTTTGAGTCTGTCAACATAATTATTTCTTAACTCAGCACTGGAGAGAGATGCTGCACAAGACCGTAGCAAATGAATAATCAGGGAGTTTTCCATTCCTCCATACTATCTCAAACAACTGAGATAAAGCAGTGTATCAGCCATGCTAGCTATTATCTCACAAAGCACAGCATGACATGGTTCGCTGCTTCGTTGCAAATACATCCTTGTCACCATGGAGATAAAAATGAATGTGGAAGGCTTAGATTGATCAGAAAACCAGAGGGATTCATTTTTCATATATTTGTGCCCCTAAAGGGTTTCATGTAAATTGTGTTTGAGAAGTTGCGCTTGTATTAGATCCTATCTGCAAAGGACAAAACAATAGCATGTCTTGTTAAGTTGTTTAAGGGGGATGTTGCGGTTGTGTGGCTCCTCCACAAGATCCTGTCTCAGATGATGGATTCTGCTTTAGATTTCCTGCTCAGTCTTACCAAGCAGGCGTGAGGGGCTCCCGACCCGTACAAGTAAAGAAAGGTCAAGGTCACGGCATCTCATTGCTTGGACAGAGAGACTGGTCCACACCTGCCGTCATGACTGCTGCCGGTCCCCAAGCCATGTTCCCTAGGTGTGAGGCTCATATCTGCCCAAGGGTAGCCTGCCACAGATGGCTGAGTTGTCCTCATGGATTGGACCCCTGGGAGGCCTCACTGGTTCAGACCTTGCCCAGGTCTTGGGAGGCATGAGGACTGGAGTAGTGGGAACCCCAGTGGAGAAGTCAGAGCACGGGGCCCCTTTCAGGCTCACTCCACCAGTGCTGCGCAGATAAACTATTTCTGGCTTAAGAATATTGTCTTTGTACGCTCTCTTCATAGAGCATATGTGCCATTCTCTTGATCATTTTGCTTGCCATTTTCTGCACCTTTTCCAGCTCTATAGGATCTTTTTTGAGGTGTGGCAACCAGAATTGTATTAAATAATTTGGCTTACTACTTACTACTAACTCCCTATCCCTGCTTATTAGTCATCATACTTTAGCTTTGGTTTCATATATTTGAAACATTTTAAGTGATGATTTCTTATATTTGTAATTAAACATTTTGATCTGTTTCTATAACCTTCTTAGAGAAAACTGTTGATATGGTAAATAGCACATAAATTGAAATAATAATACTTCGAATAATAATAGTAACAACAACAATTCCTGAGTATTTTTGAACAAGTTAAAAAGCACTGGAAGTGAGGGCACTGTTTACACATGAGAACTGTTCATTTTTTCCTGTTTTCTGAATTATGTCCTCTAACCGATTATGGATCTTTAAGAGCACCTCCTCTTTTTCCTCCTTGCTACTAAGTTTGCTCAGAAGGATGTTATCAAAACCTTTTGAAATCTTAAGCAAAAATGTCTCCTGGATCACCCCACTACTTGTTATGCTTTCAATTCAATTAGCTCTCAAACAATTCCCCTCCTCTGTCTCAAAATCACATGTTCCATTCTATCATCTGAGGATTCAGCTACACATATAAGCAAACATTATTGTCCGCCTGTTAATTAAAAGAAATCTTTTATGAGATGTATGAACCTGTTAATTTTACTTTTTCTCAGTTTCTCATTTTTCCACAATTTGATTCGGTTCATCTTGAACATGGAGAAGAAAAAAAGAACTCCATTATATACACTTTTGTGCATATTTCTCTGAACTTGTGCATTCTTGTACACAAGTTTGCCTAAAACAGGCATCTATGAATGCTGTTTTTAGAATAATGCAGTTTTGAACATTATTCTCACCAGTGCATGCATCATAAACACTTTTATGTACTATATGCACTTTTGGAAAGTATTTTTAATTGGAGGTATCCACTGAAAATTCAGATAACTAGGGAATTTGAAGGTTGTGTCCCAGTTTGTATATGGATTTAAAAGTGGAAATTAGGGAAGTTCACATTAAAATGTGAACCAACCTAATTTCTTTGCCATCCTTATTTTCTCTGTAATAGACCTAAAAGAGTTGCTGAACACAGATGCCTTTATTTGTTTGAGGGCAGCATGAACCAAATGGTTTCTAATGTGGCCCCAACCCATGGAAGGCACTGTTAGCTTTCATATTGATTCCAATAATCCTTTGATCAGGTTCCTAGTAACAATCCATTTTAAAATGAAATGTGTGAGCTAGACAGTCAGTAGCCAACAAGTACTAGCATAATATTGTTCCAAGCAATTATTCGATGTCTTAGATATATTCATGGGCACTTGGCAAAATGATGTGGAATGCCAGAGAAAACAAGACCTAGTCACTGCATCATAATGGTAAAGCAAACTAGTGAGACATAACAGCACAAAATACAGACATTCCAAGCAGTATAAGCTGGAGGCAGGCAGCTTGAAGTTCATTTGCATTCAGAAATGGCAGCCATGTTGTTTTCCATCAGTGGTTGTTTTCTAGGGCTGTAAGCCAAATCCTTGTACATTTCCTCTGCATGGCCACATCACTGGAATCAAGTGCCATAGTTGGTTAAGTCCATTTGACATCACACTGATAATATGTCAAACACAGGAAATTTGAAAAAATGGGCCTTTGCTGAACTTGCCTGTGTAGGAAAATGTCCATGTTTAGCTTAGTAAGCAGTGGAACTTTGGTACATTTTCCTCCTTTTAACTGTTAGTGCACCTAAAACGTTAACACTGTATGAAAAGGAACCTCCTGCCTGTTTCTTAGCTTCTCCTTTTTATTTTAAGTTTGAAGATAGCTAGAAACAAGCATTTGGGCAGCGGCACAGTAGCTCAGTGAGACTTGTTAACCCAGCAAAATATTTAAACTCCCAGAAGACTGCATCTTTATATACGTACATGCTGCCCCTGATTCACACTGGCTGAATCTTGGTCTTCTTTCTCACAAGCAGAACCATGCTCCCATGTAGACCCATCTTCCTGAATATACCCTGGATGAAATGGTTTCCTGGCCACTGGATGGAAACTCTGAGAATTCTGAATGTTCTTTCTGGACCACCACCACCAATGCTCTGGAGACCTGTGGGATAAGGGAGGAGAGTCAGGAACCACACCAGGGTGCAGGACAGGTTTGAAGAAGACCTCAAGTGAGACATCCATGCAACAAAACTCATCCGATTGCAGTGACTTTTGTGAAGTGGACTTGCTAAGGAATCTAAGGAGGAGGAAGATCCCTGGGCTTGAATCAGTTGGAGGCTTGGCAGGGATTCAAGTTGGTTTGGGAAGTGAGGTAATCAAGGTATTTCTTTTCTAATTACCATCACCTTGAATTGAATTTAGGAACACATGAGCAGTTAGGGTTATTTCAGAATTGGTGCAATGTGGCTCCAGCTACATAAATGGATCAGAATCCTAGCTCTCAGATTCTGTATGAATTGAAGATTGTTTCCAGACTATCTTTATGGGTACCGCCATCTATAATGCAAATTGCTAATCCAGTCTGGAGATTAGCAGGGCATTGACCACTGTCATATTTAAGTGTATAATCCATTTCCCCAAAACTTCAGAAGTGGTAAATCAACCATGAAGATAAAACAACCACATAAAACAGCAGCAATACAATATAGCAAAGTCTGGGAAATCACCAAATAAAAAGGAGTAGATATAAAACTGTAGCCAACTCCATTAAAGCCATCCACCGTCCAGGCAACACATCCAGCTTGAAGGTACATGAAGTAGGAAGCATGCTGAAGCTAAGTAGGCTTGGGTCTGGTCAGTGCTTGGAGGGATGCCACTTGGGAACCACATGTAGCCATCTTAAGTTCCCCAGTGGAAGAAAGGTGAGATACCTTTCTTCAACAAAACTGAAGCTGCTGCACTTCTGGCATATCACAGGAAAGTAGAAGAAGACCAAATATGAGGTGGATTAATTCCAGAAAGGACACAGACACAGCCTCGAGTTTGCAAGAACTGAGCAGGACTGTGAAGGGTGGGACATTTTGGGGGGCACAGGGGCACCATGTCAGAGACGTGATGGCATATAAAAAATTAACACATGCATGTTTAAACAGGAAAATCTTATGTGTGGACAAAAAAAAGAGCCAGAGCTAAAGCTGTATAAGCCACCCAGCTAAGGGCATTCCACAGCCTGAACTTAGCCATTGAGAATACCTTCTCAGACATTCCTACCAAACGTTGATGGCATGCAGGGCACCGTGCTTCCAGGTTGAGAAGCTCAGCAGCACCCCAAGGAGAGCTAAGAATCTGGTGAGTCACTGAGCACCCATTTCAGAAAGAAGCCTCAGTATCCACTCATGTATCTTTCAGACTTGAGGTTGCAGGCCTCCTCTCCACCTCACTTCACAAGACAATTCCCTCAAGCTTCTCTTGTCTCTTGGCCATGTAGCAGTACAAAACTTCAGAAATTATTGTGAGCCCTTTAAAAACTGCAGCTAGTGACGTGGAGATTCTGGCTTCTGGGCCTGTAAACCTTCTTAAGGCCTCAGTTGCTTGCAGTCCCTTGTTGGGGCAACAGTGCTCCTTGTGAGTATCCCTGGAGATGCTGTCCAGGGTCCTGAGATGCCTTTGCTGTGATCCTGTTCACCTGGACTGAACGGTGATTAACCAGATAGGATCCTGTTTGCTGAATGTGACTTTTCTTACTAGACTTGATTACCTGGCTCTGAGCAATCAGTGAGTGCAAAAGATATAGATTCCTTCCCCTTGGCATGAAGCCAAGCCAGGACTCAGAAAAAAATATTTGGGCAGATTCATACTGGAGAAGGTGATCTTTCAGATGTGCATCCCTCCACTGTATATTCTGTTTATCCTGTGCTCAAGAGTATAGCTTTTATTGCACTATAGACACAACTGTTTTTTCCCTGTCCTCTTTCTCCTACTGCTGGTGGTCCGGAGCCTTCAAATACAACTGATTGCTGTACATGCTTGTGTTAAGTATGTCCAGATTGGTCCCACAGACTTGAAGAAGCTTCTTCCCCCTTCCCTTACAAACTGAATAATTTAACATGTCTCAGTGGCTTTTCAGTGGCATTCAATGTACAGGGATAATCAATGAATAAGGCCTCGGTCAAGAACTTCACACATTCCTTGAGCATAATAGATCCCTCTTCTTTCAAACACTTACCACGGCTCTAGAATGTCTCCTATTTCAAAAATTATGATCTGGCAAATGAAGAGCAGAAAGAACTTTGCACAGCTGTATTATTTTGAATTACGCAGTTTAAAAGCCCATCGGTCTGCTACTCTAATTATTGCAAATTAAGTTGCACTTCAGCTATGCCAATACACAGTCCATGCCTGGCCTTGTTGTTTCACGTGCCTGGAGCATGAACTTCAAATCTGGCTAAGAACATTTTGCTCAAGTTTACAATACTGATGGTTAGTGGAAATAAAGTGGCATTAGGAATGTTTTTGTTAACTGTGCCAGCTCAAACCTACATAACTCATGCATTGAATTGTTATGGTTCTGCAAAGAGCTGTTTGCTTTATTTTTAATGCATTAATTAAATGGCAAATAAAGCTACTAACCTCATGTGCTGGAATGGGTGCCAAAATGGACATTATAAAAATGTTCACTCCAGTATTAATTCTATGTTTATGGGGCGTCTCATGTCTCTAAAACCTCCCCAGACTGCTATTAATCATAACCTATCAGAAACATTCATCACATTTTTCCTGTCATTTTCCAAAGAATGCCTTTATTAATTAAAGGGAAGAAAAAATGGAAAGGGAGCCTGTTTGTTTTCTTGAAGAGGAAATGATAATTTTCAAATAATGAGTTCTCTGCTTTCCATCTTACTCTGTAATTTGAAAAAGGAAGCTTTGGTCAAATTTAATCCAATGTCCATTTTAAAACTGTTGTGTCTAGTCAAACAGGAGGCCAATGTAATTAAGAACAAAGATAATGTTTGCTTGTGCCTTTACAGTTAAATGTATGCATGCATTGTCTACATAGTCATGCAGCCAAGGTGGCTTACAATGGCTAATAAATCTATAACAAGCAATAATCTGTAAAAATTAAAGCAGACTAATATTAAAAACAAATAACCAACAACAGACGAACAAATAACAGCAAAGATAAGATAAATGGTGTCAGTGGCTACGCATCAAGTTGGCGATATCTTACCTCTAGTATCAAACACAGTGTTTTAACACCAGTTGCCAGGGAACACGAGCAGAAACACTGTGCTGCATTTAAATCCTTCACATGATCTTCCCACTGGGGCATCTGGTTGGCCATTGTGGCAACATAATGTTCTTTGGCACTCCAGTAGCCCTTTGGTCTGATGCAGTCTTCTTCTGTTCTTGAGTGAGTTACGTACAAGAAGCTCAAACCCCATGAAACACCTGGTGGAAAACATAAGCCTTTATCTATTCCCTAAACATTGACATAGGCTGGGCCAGATGAATCTTGGATGGGCATCCCATAGTTTTGGCACCACTAGTGAAGGCACCATATTCTTCATGGATAAAAGGGAGCATGACCCTATGAAGAACAGATCATGACCTCCATTATCTAGAATACTTCTTATCTGGATTGAGTCAACCTATCCACCAACCTCCAACCCATTAGTGAACCCAGGCAGTCATTCATGGAGGGCCCTGGCAGACCTGATACCTGAGGCACGGAGAAGAAGACCTGTGTACCATCAGCACACTGATGGTGTCATATCTGAAACCATGCAATTATTTCAGTCAGAGGCTGCATGTTGATGCTGGATCATGGATGAAAGATGGAACCTGTTCCTGTTTGGTGTCCTTGCACCACCTTCTGAAAGCCAACTGAATTCAGTCCAGGTCAACCATCACATCCAAAAGCACTGTTGAAGGTCTGATGGGCAAACTGCAGCACAGATAATACCAAGTACTTTGTCCGTATCCTTGGGGTTCAATTATTGCAAGAGATCCAGTAAAACTAGACAAGGGAAGTCAGTGAAAAGTGCTATGGTAGATAGTGTTTCTAAAGTGGGGTGTAAATCAGAAGGTCCTACTGGGGGTCTGAGGCCAAGATGGAGGGAAGGCTAGGAAAGAATGAGACCAAATGCACACAACAGTAGCAGAAGAAGAAAGTATGGGGCTGCTATCACTGAACAGGCCTTCAAATAGGCTCACAATTGCATATGCTTGGATTTTTCACCTGCTTTCCTCTACCATCATCTCAGCCGCTTCAGGCTCATACCATGCATGCATTGCAAATGAACGTACACATATATTTTGATTTTCCCAAAGAAGGGATGCAGAGCATTGAATGCCTCAAGGCAGGGATGCTGAATTCCATTCTGGAGAAGCTCTCAGAAGCTGACACTCCAGGGGTGGCTGGTGCTGAAAGCAGAAGGAGCCCGACCAAAAGCTCAGCATATTTTATTTGTCTTCATATAATATTTCTGTACTACCCAACAGCCAAAGCTATCTTATTTTATCATAACTTATCTTACTGGCAGTAGCTAAGAGAAGTATTCCAATCTTTTACAAGGGGGAGCAGGAACTACTCCAACCCCAGAAATCACCAGATACTTGGTGGTTGAGAAAATGGGGTGAGGCCAGGGAAGGAGTTGTGACCTTCTGGGAAGCCTCAGCTTCATGTGATACTTGTGTCTGAGGTTTTGCACCCCTGTCCTAAGGCAAATGGTTTCTTTCCCCACCCCATCTAATTCTTCCCTCCCCATCTGTCATAATACAAGAGTGTACCATTGAGTTCGGCCAGGATTCAGAGTGCAGAAGGAGCTTCTGGAATTATGCAGAGTCCTTGGCAGTTATAAATTTCATGGAAAGCTGTTCCAGGAGGACATCCAAACTTTGAAGGTAGCTTGAAGGGCACAAGTTGGGCAGCTGAAAGAGGAAGGCTGAAAACTTGGCCTTTTCTCCTAGAAAAGTTCCTTTTCATCAACCATAATGAATTGGAATTCATACCCAATTAAATCCTATTGGAAAAAAACTCAGATTTTTTTCTGAGATTTGGTTACAGTCTCATTAAAATCCAGAGAGATAGTGCATGCAAAAATAAAAATAAAAACTAGTTCAGAAACGCAAATTCAAAAAGGGTCGTTTCAGGCATTTTAATGAACCACAGGATTTAAAAAAAAAATTCCAGACCACTTTTAACCAATAATTAGCAGCAAGGATTCAAAAAGAATTGTTTGGGCGATATGCTATATGTGGTTTTATAGCTTTAAAATCCCTAGGGCTATCTTTTCTGGGAAAGGGAAGATAAATCTTTGTTTAAAGTAATTTTATGCATGGAGTTATTTCTCAGTTCATTCCCTACTGAACAGCAGTCCTCATCTTAAGAGCTAAAATATTGTTCTATTTTGTGAAAGCTGGCTTCTCTGAAACAAGAACTTCATTTTCATTTAGAATTTCCAATGAAGCATGCGTATTCTTGCATGATAATCTTTGCAGCAGCAGCAGCAATGTCTTCCAAGTTTATGGTCCAGTGAAACTGGTAAGACTTTGGAATGTCCACATATATGTGCAAAGGGCTGTCATATAAATGGCTGGTACAAACATGGTACCAGCTTATGGAACTGTGTGTGCTGAGTGACCATAGAATCAGAGAGGTACCTTGGAGGCCATCTAGTCAACCCCCCCCCCACACACACACACACAAACACACTGGAGGTATTTTGCAGCAACTTCATTCTTGACAGATAGCCAACCACATCTGCTCAAATACTTCCCACATAGGAGAGCAAATGTCAGTTATTCGTTTTATCCCTGCCCACTGGAGAAACCAAACGACTCCATCTTCTTCATGGCAGCCCTGCAAACATTTGAGGATGGCTCTCATGCCTTCCCTGAGAATAACTGTTCATCACTTCATGGAGATATTTGTTGTTGTTATGTGTCATCAAGTCATCTCCAACTTATGGCTTATAAATGAAAGCCCCCCAAAATGCCCTGTGCATGACAACCCTGCTTAGTTCTTGCAAACTCAAGGCTGTGGCTTCATTTATGGAGTCAATCCATCTCTTATTTGGTTTTCTTCTTCTGCCTCTGAATTTCCCTAGCATGATTGTGTTCTCCAGAAGTTTTGCCTTCCCATAATGTGCCAAAATATGGCAGCTCCTGTTTTGTCATTTTTGCTTCCACGGAAAACTCTGGCTTGATCTGATCTAGGATCCACTTGTTTTTTCTTCTGTTGGTCCAGGGTATTTGAAAAAGCTCTCCTCCAGTCACATGTTTCAAATGCATCAATTTTCTTCCTCTCAGCTTTCTTCACTGTCCAGCTTTCACACCCACACATAGTGTTAGGGGATTTAGTAGTGTGGATTATCTTGGCCTTGGTCTCCTTATACTTGATTATCTTTTCTAGTTCCTTTACTGCTGCCCTTCTAAGACTCATTCTTCTTTGAACTTCTTGGCTTCAGTATCCATTTGAGTTGAAGACTGAGCCAAGGTACGTAAAATCTTTCACAATTCTAATTTCTCCGTTGTTAACAGTAGTGTAATTCTTCCGTATGTGTAATTATCTTGAGTTCCTTCTGCCTTTTTTCTCTCTGTTTTATCACCC